TATGTATCCATGAGTTCTACTTTAGAAATAAATTTCATTGAAATATTATTCACTATTGCAGGATGTACGGTCGTTTGAAAATTGAACCATTTTTATGGGGGTTTTCTCATTTTACGGGGTTAAGCAAGAACTTATCCAACATTTTAAAAATTTCTGCATATTTTTCATCAAAATACGCGCCGTTTGCTATTTGAAACGTACAAATTCTTCAATCCGTTCAAAAGTTATGATGTTTCAAACACACGCATGAAATTTTGGAGAAACGTTTCTGGCCACTCATTACATTTTCGGTAATGAATCCTTTTATCGAAAATGCGTAGGAATTCAATCCCTTCCATAGCCAACTCACATGTATTTACGCACACTACAGCCATCTACCTGTTACATATCATTCATGCATGGGGCTGAAACGTTTGGTGACTTGGGCGTTGGCTCGAGCATCTAGCGAGCAACCCTTTGAACGGGGTTGACTCATGCCGTATGCGCACACCCGGCCCAATTTTCATTGCCTTTTATGGTAATGCCCCGCCTTAGTACTGGGCATTTTCAACTATATAAGGGCCGCGGTTTCTTACTCGGGGAGCTCAGTTTTACCTAAACTCTTGGCACGACGTTACTGTGACACTCAGGGCAAGATCGGGCTATAATCCCCTTCAAGCAACTATCTACGACTATCTACCTTAGCGGTTTATCAGTGAGTGTCCATTAATCGAGTAGAGCTCCCGCGAACGCGCTGCGTTAAAAGCCGATAACGAATCTTTCGCCTTCGAGGCAATTTAGCAATTGTACAACTTCTTGTAAACCCATAGCTGTACTTGAGCATCGTCAAAAATATATATTCAAGTTATTGTTCCTTACGTGTGTTATTCACTCAAGGCAACCCTGAACCATATTAACCGTAAGGCTAGGGGTATCTCACGAACCCGGTACACCTTTACCGCTCGAGGTGTACCATCACGACAGAGAGCAAGATCCTAAAACATCCTAAAACCCTACGTGGCTCCCAGGGTATAAAGCCCCTGGTTCGTCCACTCCTACTAGCGGCTCCCAGGGTATAGAGCCCCTGGTTCGTCCGTGAAACCATTCATTTTCCCTATAAATCTAACCCCGTGGCTCCCAGGGTATAGAGCCCCTGGTTCGTCCACGTAACCTCCACCTACGGCTCCCAGGGTATAGAGCCCCTGGTTCGTCCGGACCTCCTTTCTTTTCCTAACCATACCCAAAACCACCGGTCGAGTACTGCCCCTCGACCGAATCCAGGATCTCGCGCTCCCGCTCGTAACATACCCATCAATACTAATTCAGTGAATAGTTTCTCAACTGACCATCATCCATGAGAAGAGGACGCTAAAATCACCTCCGAATTTTCGGGTCGGTTTGGGGGTCTGACTGAGCCACGAAAGTCCATAAGGTGCAAGGTCTACTCGTATTCCTCATCTGTAGAGGAATCCTCGTTTGTGATGACCTCTACTTGTTTACCTCGTCTGTATTTCCTACCTTTTCGTTGTCGATACGGTCTTATCCTTTTCTGAATTGGTACATGGTAACGTCGCATGTGATTCGATACTGGTAAAATAGATTTATCATCCAATTTCAGACGAAGTATACAAGATAGCAATCCAATGTATTTTTTCGAGTAGACTTCGTCTGTGATCCAATGGTCTTTTACGTTGTATAGTTGTTGGGATACGTAGAAATCTATTTTATCATTAGAGAGTCACATGTGACGTTACCATGTATCAATTCTGGAAGGTATATGACCGTATCGGTTACGAAAAGATAGGAATCATAATTGAATTTACCAATCGTCAATTATTCTATAAATAATTGCATTTTTACAATCATCAAAAAACATTTAAATTTTCGTTATGAAGTAGGGTATTTTTCGAGAAAACTTACTTCTAATTTTAACTTCATGGAGTAAAACAATTTTCTCGTGTCATATAAATTAATAAATAGCACATACAAATATATAAATGTATTAATACAATCGTACAGTGTGGACTGAATTATGTAGTAAGTGTTCTAAATTAAATGCCAGAATAAAGTTTAGAATAGAATACTATATTTTAAATACTCAGTACAGGAAAGTTATAAATTTATAGAAATAAATTGTAAACGATTGTAAATAATTTTTGTTCTATTTTAACCATTGACGAAATTTAAGCGAAGACCTCTGTTACAAACAATTAAAAAATCAAATCAAATACATTTCAGCCGAATTGTTGAAGGATCGTTCAGTGACCATTGATGTGAAAAATGGAAATCATATTTTTCATGTAAAACAGATTCACGTAGTCGAAAACAGTACGTTCTTGTTACAGTTTATGAATAAGCGCATATCAATTCCACATTCTGCGAGTAAAATACGAAAGGAATTGTTGTTAAATTTTCAAGTATACATAAATTAAAAAGTATAAACTAGAGCGTGCAGATGAATGTAATTTATGCATTCGATGCCGCTGGCGTCAAACAATGACACGAAACCAGTAGCAGGCTCTGCATTTTCAATTTAAGTGGTTCAGAAAAACAAACGTCGACTACAGTTTCGGATTTTGTTAAGCCATGATAGTACAATATGCGTAAATGACATGATTGAATTGAACGAAAAATTCTAGAAATTTGTTATTTCCAAATAAGTGTAATAAAATTACTTTAGTTTATTGAATAAACTATTAATTAATACAATCAAAGGTTAAATTACTTTCTTAGCAATCTTTTAGGTATCAAAATCATTTTAAACTGATATAATGGTTCATTGCAACCACCGGTTAAAAAATTTTTACTAAGCTTTTCACAATTAACTTGATTTTACAAACTTTGTTAGAGTTTATATTCCCTATTTAACAGAATATCTCTCTTTTTATATCTTGAATTTTTTTTAATATCTTGTGAAATTTTGTTTAGTTAAAACTGTAATTTTTTAAAATGTTTATTTGTATGCTTTCATTGGAATCCATTATGTAAAATATTTTTTAAAAAGTTCCGTTCAAAGCATTGAGATGGAATCTATTAAAAAAGTTCCGAAACTATTTCGACCCTGATTTTGTCTGTCTGAAAGAAGCTAACTTCGTTACTGGTAGGCAATTACTCGAGTATAGGTATAAAAATAAAAATGAAACTTTCGTTCATTTATTTCTCTGTTTATGGAAAATTTAACGTAGTAGGTAACCTATTAATTTCGAGGAAATTCATTAAAAGTAAGGATTCCTTTTGTTGATTAAAACAAGTTTGGAATTAAAAATGGTTGTGGGCAATTTAAATATGTCGCAAAGTCAACCCACGTTTTATCCACCCACGTTAATACCACCGTACATGGGTCCGTATCCTCCGACGAAATTTGATCGTGCTTCGCAAGATTCTGGGACTTGTGAATACTTTCAAAATTACAGAAACGAAGTTTTATCAAAATTTACGGTAAAGCTGATTTGAGTTCTTCAAATTATAAATATTAAATATTTTTGAATCATTGGAATCATTTTCAATGGCCACTATCGTTATACAGGGTGTTTTGAAGTTAAACGATCGAATTGCAACAGTGCGTTCTATGAACAAAAATAAAATCAAAATGTTATACTTAATATGTAATATATTTACATATGTATATCTTTCATAAATTAAATATAATATAGAGAGTGTTAAAAAAAAGATTACAAAAAAAAATTTAGAATAAAAATTTAACGATATGGGGACGCTAAAAAATTTCCAAAGTAGTTTTTTTAACATATAATATATTTTACAGTATGTTTGGTATACTACATCTTAACAGTAGTGATATTTTGGTTTCAATTTCGTTTATTTTATTTGTTTCGTACTCGTGTGTTGTACTTATAAGGTAACGATTGAGAAACGAATAGTTTCATTTTATTTTTTGACGTACAATTTTGAAGATGGAATTGTACAAGTGGGGGATGCAAGATATACCGTATAGTACAAGACCTGTCACCGATGCAGCTAAAGTGCATCGTAAAATTAATCGTGAGTTAACTGTTCTTTCAAATGACATTTCAACAATCGACAACTCACGCATGAAGGAAGTCGACGACCTGTATAAAGTAATAAGAATTTTAATTTTTACTCGATGAAATATTTATATAAGCATGAATAAATTATAATCATATTATATAATTAATTTTCTTATATCAGTATTTATAATTTCAAAGAATGTTTCTATTATATTTACGTATATGTATATTCGTTATGGTATCAGAATTAATACCACGTTTTATGCCGCGTAATTTCATATTTTATGCCACGAAATGTCAAATTAAAAAATGCATTTTTTCTCCCACTTTAAATATTGCTTAATACATTTGTTATTTCACAAAAATCGTGGTAAATTGTTTAAGTGTGATTCAGTTTGTGCTAAAAAAATCACGCTAAAGAATGAAATTGTCATTGTAAAATGTACATTTTTGTGTCATGTAATTTCAAATTAAAAAATTTTTGTCTTTTCGAGTTTGCACAAATTATCGAACGAATCGTATATGTTTAGTCATTTCTGATCAAGCTAATGGCTCAGAGTATTCAAACTATTATAAAGTATATTTTAATGCAGGGAGTACAAATTCATCGCAAACAATACAAGGATCATACTGGTAGCCTTCATCCCTTATCATTTTTCAAGCCCGATCATTACAAGTATCAATGTTCACCAGGAATGACATCTTCGTACTTCTCTAAATATCCACCGAATTACGTCGATTATAAAGTACCTCTTTTACCCCTTACGTACGAAAGACGGAAACAGACACCTTATATACCTGATTTGTCTCTCATTGGCATTTATAACAAATCAAGTTGTACCGCTTACAAACGATAAATCAACATTATCACATTAGTGTTATCGAGAAATTACGAAAATAAATTTAATATCACTAAATAGTAAATATTATGTAACCTAATAATAAATAATAATAAATACTAGAATATTATTTATAATTAATAATAAATACTAGAAAATAAATGAAATATAAAGTATCTCTATATATTTTCGTATGTGCCCTTTGAAGATCCATCAGTATAATTTAAATACTGAAACGAAATGTGGACGAAAATTCTGGAATCCTTCTAAGGAAACGCGTGAATTCTTCGAATGTAATGGCTCCCAATTGACTGAAGACCATTTCTTGAAGCACCTAATATTAAAATATACGGTTATTAATATTAAAGTGTTACATATACGGGTGTTCGGCCACCCCTGGGAAAAATTTTAATGGGAGATTCTGGAGGCCAAAATAAGACGACAATCAAGAATACCAATTTGTTGATGGAGGCTTCGTTAAAAAGTTATTAACAATTAAATTCAAAAATTTCAAATCGTTCTGGAAAAATTATTTTTGGTTGCGGGGATCAATTACAATCATTTTTAGTGAATTGACATACCCCCGAATTCCTGCGCATTTTCGAGAAAAAAAATTCAGTACGGGCGAAACTTTAAACGTTAATAACTTTTTAATAAAGCCTCCATCAACAAATTGGTATTCTTGATTTTCTTCTTATTTTGGCCTCTAGAATCTTCCATTAAAATTTTTCCCAGGGGTGGCCGAATACCCTGTGTAATATATAAATCAATACAAAATCTATAAAGTTTAAGAAACTGATGAATCCAAAATGAACATTGAGTGTCAAATCTATGTGCTTGAGAAGTAAATATATTTATTTTTCAAAGAAGATTGTTTCGTTCCCACGTCAAGTTTTCTTCAGTAAATCATTTAACGTTACAGACAATCTTTTCGTTATACTATTCTAGTGTGAAAATAACATTTAAAAAAGAAACAAAACTTTATATATAATTTAATGTGAAATTTTTATTTATAGACAATTTATAATTTAAATCATAAAATAGTCACCTGTTTAAGCTTTAAAGCAAATAAAATTTAGCTCGTTAATGGAAATATATAATTATTTATTTTAAAAGTGGGGTAATTTCATTTTTTGTAAACCCTGGTCTGTCACAATTTACGTGATAATAAAGTTATCATCTCTAAAACAAATAATACAAAAATATATTTGTGGTTTTTTATATTTTCTATATTTGAATATTATTTGAATTCTTTCTACAGTTAAGACGTGGTACATACAAGCTTTTCTTAAAATTCAAATTTCATCTCATTTTACTTATTATTAATTTAGATTTCTTAGGGAATACAAAATTTTGTAACGCGATTAGATTATTGTAGCTTTAGTGTAACGATATAGGAAATCAAATTTTCTTAATAATTTAGGGTCAGAATTGTTTTCTCTTTCTTCGGAAGAATCAGATTCTTCCCACTTTATTATTTGCAAAGATGCTTAGTGTTCATATCATAAGCCTCGTTGTTGAGAAACTTTAAGTTCTAATCATATTTCTTACATGTATATTCAAATAATATAAAAATCACTGTAAGAGATATATTATATGCAGTGTATTTATTCATTGCACAACTACTAGTGATTGTATCTAATCGTGCAAAATAATAGTTTGTAGCGCTTCTACCGTAATCAATGATCCCGCGATTGAAACAGGACCTATGCTATGTGCTTGTTGGACACGGCTGCAAACTTATGGTAGTAAATATTATCGAGACTTACCATACGTGCTACATGTTCGACCTCCGCCATATCAATGCCTACATACTCGTCCTGGCTATTCCCTGTCAGTCTTTGCACAGCCTCCATCAAATCGTCGAGTGAGATTCGATTGTCGCCGTCAAAGTCTGGAAATGAAGGTATTAACGGTGTCGTTGTGTATAGAGGGTTATCTGGAGTTAACACTACATATCACAGGGACAGTTCAGCAAACTATAATGCATATCCGTGTGTACGAGACGCTCGTTAAACGGAAATACATTGTATTTATCTAAACTGCGCCAGTGTTACTCTAAACTGATTAGCACAATCTTTCTTCTCATCATTTTTCTTCTTCTATATGATCAATTTAATCCATCGTTTGCTGAATTATTCTATTTGTATGTTAAATAAGATATGACACATGTGATTTTTTAAATGCAATTTGGATAACTTAATTATTAAGAACCATCTTTTAAATATTTTAAATATAATATAATATAATATAAATTTTTAAATTACATTTATATTCTATTATAACATAAATATTGTAATTTTAAAAATATGAGATGTTTCTTGATAATTAGGATATCCAAATTATATTTAAAAAATCACATCTATTATACAGGGTTATCGGCCATCCCTGGGAAAAATTTTAATGGGAGATTCTAGAAGCTAAAATAAGACGAAAATTAAGAATATCAATTTCTTAGTTGAGGCTTCGTTAAAAAGTTATTAAAAAATTGAATTAAAAAACTTCAAATCATTCTGAAAAAATTATTTTTGGTTGCGGGGATTAGTTACAAACATTTTTGATGAATACACATACTGCCAAAATCCTACGCACTTTTTAGAAAAAAATTCGAGAAGGTGTGAAATTTTTCGACAAAATTAAGAAATCTCAAATCGTCTGGAAAAATTATTTTTAGTTGCAGGGATCAATTATAATCATTTCTGGTCAATAGATATACCCCCGAAATCTTACCCATTCTTCTTCTTAGAAATTTTTCCTAAGAAAAAAATTCCTTACCGAAAATCTGATTTCAGGCCAGAGATACTTCTCTGAAATTTCATGTGAATCTTCAAAATGTCATAACTCCTGAACGGATTGGACGATTTTAATGTTTCAAAATGCAAACAACGCGTATTTTGACGAAGAATATATAGAAAATTCAAAAAATATTCGAAAAGTTATTCCTTGACCCCGCAAAATGAGAAGAACGCAATAAAAATGGTCCAATTTTCAAACAGCCATAACTCCCACAATAGTGAATATATTGAATTGAAATTTTGAGAGGGTGTAAAATTGATGGATACCTACAAAAAAGTATTAAACAACTTTTCTGTACAGCGCCAACCAAATTTATTAAAAATGAAAAACTAAATTTTAAGAAAAATCAACAAGGGGTGTAGATGCTGAAATTTTTCGGCAAAATCGGAATTTTCAAATCATTCTGGAAAAATTATTTTCGGTTGCGGGAGTCAATTACAATCATTTTTTATGAATAGACGTACTTCCGAAATCCTGCGCATTTTCAAGAAAAAAAATTCAGTACGGTCGGAACTTTAAACGTTAATAATTTTTTAACGAAGCCTCCATCAACAAATTGGTATTCTTAATTTTCGTCTTATTTTGGCCTTTAGAATCTCCCATTAAAATTTTTCCTAAGCGTAGTGGAACACCCTGTATATCATATCTTGTTTAAATACAAGTACAATTCGCATTTATATTTTGATAGATACTTAAATTAAATCCCTTTTGTCTTAGTTTAATCTCCTTTTCTATGAAAAGGAAAGATTAAATAAAATCTTACTCGTTGCATATTTAATGCTATTATTTTACTAATATAACCTCTAAATGTTTTGACCATTATATTTATGAAAATATTGTTTCATTTAATTATTATTTGTTTGTAAAATAATATTGAAGTAGTACTTTGGAAAGGATTGTTACCTATTTTATTGTTATAATTAGTAATATAGGTTTCTAATGTTTCATTTCTTATTTTAACTATACTCTGAGTAATTAACTGTGTAACATTGGAATAATAGTAAAGCTATTCAACTTCCTCTATTAATTTTGTTTGGCTCGAATTCTCCTTCTGGTTTTCTTTTATTTTTTCTTATTTTCTTTTACATTTATTGTGTTTTTGGTTTTCATGCCGTTTTGTCTACCTTTCTCTCTTAATCAGATTTTCACTCTTTGGTTTCTTCTCTGTCGCTCTCACTCGTTTAGTTTTTTCTTTCTCTATGTGATATTCCCATTCCCCAGGCACGTCTATTATCCTCCACTCTCTCACACATCTCTGTTGTTTCTCTGTTTTCACGGGCATTGATGTGACATGGTGTGCACCGTGAAATTAAACGATCTCGATTAACGAAATCGCTGCTAGCGTATACTAATAATATTGGATAGGCTGTTGCAACCAAAAAAAGTATTGTAACAACCTTTTTGCGTATCCTGTTTTTAAATCGTTGGTAATCCGATACGGTTCGCAACAATTTTGTTATTTCGTACTCTTTTAAAGAATATTTATATTGTGGAATGATATTAATAGCCTGCAAGCAGAGTAAAATATACAACGAGATTTGTGAATAACTTTTAATATTTACAGAACGATTTTATTATTTCAAAATTCATTATCGTGCAATTTTATTATTAATTATTCCTATAGTATATATTTAAAATAAACTTGTTTTCGTTTATTATTATTGTTTCTTCCCGAATTTTATATTTTTTTATGATCAGAATTGCCTATTATGCAAGGTATTTGAATTGTTCTGTGGTAAACTTGATACTTTACGTTTCACAATAATTTCTTTATCTTTTCTGCGACAACTTCAAAAAAATATCTCATAGATATTTGTATATATTGATTACTTTAAAAACATATTATACATATAATACTATATAGAGTGTGAATTAAAGAAAAGAAAGTAGTAAATGAATTCATGTAGATTTAAAGAATAGAATATGTTAAACTTGAGTAGGTAAGAATTCTTATAATATTTCATATACTATAAAACATTCTTCTTAAATTAATAAATTTATAAATGAAAATAGAGATAGTGTAAAACTATTTCCATTTTTAAATTGAAGATATCGAATAATAACAAAGAAGAAGAAAAATCTATGTTTTTTGTTTAGGTAATTGGGTCTTTTACCTGTAACCAGTGAAATTTTTATTTAAAATTATACTTAATTTCTTACCGAAAATACAAAACGCCCAGGCAGCACGATTGGCGTCGGAAGAATTTTCAGAGAAAGCCGAACATAAATCCAAGATATCTTCGAGGCTCAGATGATTATCTTGTTCTGATGAGAAGACTCGATATATTGAATCACGGAATGGACTGCACTAAAAACGATTTGTAACTTCGTCGGTTATTCAAATAAAATATTGTAAAATTTGTCAGCAACGGAGGAGGAAAAACTATTAATTTTTCAAGCTTTGAACAAGAGTTACAAATGGAATGATTTATCGTGAAATTAATTACGGTTGGCTTCTGTATAAAATTGAATTATATACTACTTATCATGGGACACCCTGTATATTCTATATACAAGGTAAAGGCAATAATTCGACCTTAGTTGCAGTATACGTGGACGACATTTCAATTACTTCAGGCAATTGTATCACCATGCGATATAATGCATTTATGAACCATGGACGCTAGCAAACGACTTACCGAAGCCATTTCTGATTTTCAATAGAACAATAGCGCATAGTACGCGTATTTAATTGCCCACGGACGGTAAAAATTGATCTGTCAGTAAAAAGAACATCGTGAAAAAGCTTTTCGTTTAATTGTAATTGGTACTACGTTTGTTCGCAAAAAATGACGCGATTCTGTAAATTGGTGTTATATTTATTATGATTAACAATAGAGTACCATTTTTCTGCAATAACGATATAGTTCTTTGGCAATCACCTGAACGTAATGAGTTTCTGAATCATATTAGTGGATCCCTTAAAATCTATTGTGGATCACAATCATTACTATGAGTCATTAGTAATTTGTATTTCCGAATTTACAGAGTTACCAATATTTAGAATACTGCTAATAAAAGTTAATTAAATTAACTCACTTTGATTTGTGGAAATACTGTTTCGATTTGTTCCACTGGGAAACGGTGCTGACGATCCTTACGAAGTTTTCCTGAATCTATGTTATCGAGCTGCCTAGCAATTCTGGAAAAATATATTTCGAAGATTACGTACACGACAATTAATTACTAAAGTTCTGTCAATTTTCCCGTGTTTACACACGTTTTTTTAATTCACGTTGGTTTTAAGATCTATTAGATTCACTTGAAATAAACCAATTATGTAACAAATAATTAAAATATATTCTGCAGATAACCTTGAAACAAATAAAAAAATAAATAAGCCATATATATTTCCTCCCTCTAACTAAGAAACTTTTGCTTTTAATATTCTTCCCAAAAATGTGTTCCTTTTTTAGATACTTAGATTTGAAGTTGACAAACGATGTGTATATTCTAAACAAGTAACCCCATAACTCACTGGAGTATTTTATTTTTCGACAGGTATGTTAATTCGGCGTAAGTGTCAACCAATTCTTCGTCAAGAATATCATTGTTGGTTGTCAATAAATTTCCCATAACAACGCACAAATGTGGACACACTTCAATGAAAGAAACACTGTACTGACAATTACGAGCTATTTGTGCAGTTATCGATCTACCGATAACGTGTTATCTGTTACAAAGAAATTCTCGAGCATACTACGTGTTAGATTTTCAATTAGATTGTGTTTACATATAATATTAAAAGTGTCAAAGAAGTAGCCAAACAAATAGATATTAAATTTTAAAATTAATTAAACAAATATATTAAAAATGGAAGATCTATTGCTTTCGGTGCTTTGTTAGTCCGGCATTCTTGATTTATAGAGTTTTTATCAAGTTGCATTCCACTTTTTGAAAATGCAGCTAACGGCTGCTAATTTGAAATAGTCTCTATAAATAACTTATAAAATTGTTAATAATTGCAATCTTGAACACCGAGTAGCGAAAGAAAGACCCTGTTCGTTTAAACGAAGAGATCTCTATTGTATAACTGTGGATTTTTTACGAAGTCGATACTTCAATTTGTATAACATCAAGACTTTTTGAAACAGGATTAGCCAAATCAGTAATGTTACTTTTTAGTTCTGATTTATTTGACAGGCAAAATAAAAATAATATTGTAGCAGTAATATATCTTTTTAATTCTAATGTCTGTGGTTTGCAAAATAAAAGTAATATTGTGGCAGTAATGCTTCTTTTTAATTCTAATTCGTGTGATAGGCAAAATAGAATAGAAACAAAACCAAATTTACAAATAATTCACCACATATTTTCAGTTCCTATATGGAATGTACAAGACTATTCGGATCTGTTCGTTTAAACGAAGAGGTCTCTATATAACTGTGGATTTCTTACGAAGTCGATACTTCAATTTGTGCAACACCAAAACTTTTTGAAACAGGATTAGCCAAATCAGAAACGCGTTAAGATGGATGAGAGGATTACAGTTAACTTTAGGAGAAGTAGGTCACAGGGTGTCAATTGGACGTTGTTGCATCAAGGTAGGTAAATCGGTTGAAGAGGATCCCAAGACAAGACCAAAGACTGAGAAAGGATCACTATACATATATGTAAAATGGGAACTCAGAAAAGGCAAGTAAAGATATCGTGCAAAGTATATGAATTGAAAATTCTCGTTTAGATACGAAAACCAGTGGGCGAACGAAACATGAAAGGAATAAATAGTAACAGCAGTGGGCTCCCTTGAGTTGTGTTTATGCGAGGAAGGCAGGGAATAGAAACTGGGATAGAGAAACTTGTAGAGCGTACGATGACGAAAAAGAATTTCTGACTAGCACGTCCGGAAATGCAAGAAGTTTTCTAAAATGGTAGTCTTAGACTCGGTTAAGAGAGCCAAGCAAAATATGAGAGGATTCAAGAGGATAAAAGTCCGACGCAACGCTAGAAGCTGCTTATGCTGGAAAAAAGCAAAATGAAAGCCGTGTGATTTCACAGATAGTGGTTCACAGGCGTGGAAAATTAGGAATTGTGTGTCAATTAATAGAAATAAAAGAATCAACATAATTTATCTTAGAACAACTAGTAGTTTGTTGATGTTTTTATTAATTTCTTCATTAAATAGTAAGTTAAACTTGTCTCTAATTTTGGCCAATATTAGACTATACACTGTGGGATAAATAAAAATAAATATCCTATTATATGATTTTTTCTTAAAGTTCATCAGTCCACTTATAATGTACAATTATATCCTTTTTTAAATGTAACTATAGTTTCCCTAACTAATCATTGTTTATTTAAGACAAAATATTAATCATAAGAACAACAATAATGGAAAAATATTATATGCAAACATTTTTTTTTTTAAGTCCAGGAATCTTATTTAGTAACGAGGTATTTTATTGAAACTTTAGATCTAGTCATTAAGTTTACGAATATATAGCATTATTATAGAGGCAGATGCTCAAAAACTTTTGAGATATTAATGATTAAAGTTTCAGTATTCCGTAAAAGTATAATTTTCATTCTTTGTTTATCGAGTAGGACTTTAGTTCAATGGTAAGGCAAGAACGTGTAGACAAGAATGTGTACTACATACAAATATAGACTTTAAATAGTAAAATTCTGACACATAAAAACTCTAAATTAACTTTTAAATAAAATATCTCTATTTATAATAATAACAAAAAGAAGATAATATTGTGTGTAAATAGCATATCTCCAACATCTAGAATTGAGAATATTTAAAAGCTTTGCAAACCGTATGTATTTATATATTTTAATGAAATATTGTTTCCATTGTTAATTATCCATTTGATAATTAAATCATTCTCTTCCGTTCCTTGTACTGGCGAGAAATTAATGCAAAATTTGAAGTTGAAAGATTTTTAAAAGGAACGGTAGCAAGTGAAACCCAAGTATTTTAATACGTTGGAGGTGAATAATTCTTAGGCTTCTTTCAATTAATCAAAGCCTAGGCTGTTTAAGTACTGTTGGTGCGTAGACTGTTGCGCCGCGGTGGTTACTATTAGTCTGTTCCAAAAGAAATGAATATTCATGAAATACATAAATAAACGTAAGAAATTTATATTCAACGGATGTGCACGACGCTGTACACACAACTTCAAAGATTCGTTTAGAATTATGCAACGTATAGTGTGGAGCTCGTAAATGATTAAACCGATTACACGAGGAATGCTGGGAATTTCAGTAGATGGGGAGGAGGTTTAATTAGATCGTCAATGAGCGAGCTTACTGATTGGAAAACGGTCGTATCGCACGATTTGTGCGCTTGTCAAGGATGATGCACTTCAGTACTGCGGATTAGTTGCTATCTGTTACTATTAATCTATTTTGTGATAATCGGTTTAGCAATTTCATAAACAATGTTTAAATTGTGTGTTCCATGAATGAATTTTAAAAAATTCGATTCTTCTTATAGTAGATTTTGTTCCAATCAGAGTACTGACACTTCATACGTTTTACTAACGGTTTTTGGTGTTATTTACAATATTTTTATATACGATACCACGTGATTACAAAATATAGTAATATGTATTATGTTTAGAATTTAAACATTTACATTTAAAAAGCACATTAGCAATGAATGTAAAGAAATTGATACAATGTATGGTGCAAAAAGAACTCTGTACTTTTAAGTGTTGTGGAAATTAACCTAAACTTATAATAAAAGCATTATTTTTAGGACAGATAATGCAAATATGCATTTAACATTTTTCGATACTCTATCTATGTGGCAGGTTTCATAAAAAAATACAAAATAATCAAAACGATTCGTTGACAGTAAAGTATTTAATGAAAGTGAAAATGAAATCATGGTGTTCATTTTAAGAATCATTACTGTACTGATTTAAAGAAAGAAATTTAAAAAAATGGCGAAGGAAGCGGCCCTCTAGAAGACCACTTTAAGGTGTGTAGAGGAATTGTGGGAGTGTTGCTTCGCGTATTGACTCCTTAGTATACCGAGAGGCTCTTTTAGCCTACACCATCATGATCCGGAGATCACAAGCATGTAATCTACCTGCTGGCCGCTCCACACCAAGGGATTTAGACCCCAGAATCACTATTAACCCGTCTCAACCTTCTCTGTATTATCGAGGAAGAGTACTGGAAGGATCCAGTATATTGTGAAAACAGAATAAACAATAAATCAAGAAAAGCTTCAAACAAGAAGATGAAAAATCCAAGAATAAGTGCTCCTAAGTCAAGAAAAGTATAAATTCAAAAATAGTAAAAAAATGTTATGAAAACAAAATTTTCATTATTAAATAAAATATAAGAAAAATGTTAATAAAAGATTAAATCTCGCAACAGACTATTCCAGTAAAGATTTTCATACATATTTACTAAAATTGGCTGAAGATACTGTAGTATTATTATTGTTATTTTTATTATTATTACTACTACTATAGGATTCATCAAATGTAACGATTAATTTTAATTTTTTCAAAGTCAATCAACAGTTAATGTCAAAATTGGTAAAATAAATAAAAGTTTCAACGAACAGACACCATTTTATACACATTTTCTCAGATCAGAAAAGAACTATTGTTACATCGGAACTAATTAAAAATTTGAACAGTTTCAATCGACCTCTGAGATGTTTTCGCGTGCAGCGACATAATGATCGATAGCGTTTGAACTTGGGTATGAAAGTTTCAGATTTCCGCAGTCGTTGAAGCATTGGTTCATTTCGAGGCAAGGAAAAGGCGTGCCCGCGATTACAAAACGCTGCAATTGAAATAAAACACGAAACCGTATTTACCGAAATTCACACACATTCGTCGGTAGTAACTTTGCATGCAAGCCACTCTTTCTGGTCTGGTACAATGATGAAGAGGCTCACTGTCAACTCTCCAGCCATTATTAGGTGGTTAACGCGGCAAAATGCTCGCGATGATAACCAGCAGGGGCAGAAGGATGGATCCGGAAAGCGGCCAATAATTATTACACGACTCCACGAAGCAGTTATTGTCCCAATTCGGGGGTCGCTTTGCGGATAATGGCTGTACTCGAGAGGTCATGTGAGCCTGACGTTCCAGCATGTCAACAGCAACTATGCATCATCGGATGTCTGCCGCACGTAATCGCCTGTTCCCTTCCTGCCTCTCTTCTGCCCTCCATCTTTCCCTCTTTTCACGCGTTTCTCTCTCGCCCCCTTATCTCATTTTAGTTTTCATTATCCGATCTAATTTGTTTTTCGTCTTCGAGTCAGATTTTCATCTTATCTCTGTCGTCAGTTTTCTAATCAACCTATGCCCTCTCCTTCCAACTCGTTATTGAAGGTTGCGTAACTCGTTATACGATGTTTTTCATCGTTTGAGATACAGGAATTTTAAATCTACTTCGTTCTAGAATTCTGTTGTAAGATTAAACGTTGTGTATCACATGTTCAATTTCGAAATATTAATGTTTTTATAATATCAATTTTTATTAGTAGTATCTTTTTTATACATGTATATACTATTTTTACTTACCATAATATTCTATGTTCATGTAATTAACGTAAGTAAATAGAATAGTAATAATTAACATTTTCAATTTCGAGATATTAATATTTAAAGTTTCAAGTATCAAGTTTTATTAGT